CCCATCCCCCCCCCCCCCCCTCCTGAGATAATTGAATGGATACACAATTCCATAGAAAGGTTGATTCCATTGAAAGGTTGATTCATATCGCGGAATGCATAGCTACAAAGACAGTTTTAGCGCAGATGCACCAGCATGGAAACCTTTGTGCAATCAATCACTCTCTATCAAGGTCAGCAGGTATGTGCTGTCAGACAACCCCATGCACAGTGACCACAGTACACTCATGTGTGCATATCTCCATTGACGACACCCCTTTAGTAGATTTACTCTTTGAATAAAGTACAGTTTTTGTGTAGGCAACAGTTGACACTTTTGACGTGTAAGTTTTGCTTCCTTATTGTTTTCAAGTACAGTACCTGGTTTAATCATATTGTGTAAGATATACTGTATGAAATTGTATAATCCTGTTGTCTCTAATTGACATGAAACAGTGGCGTAACAGGCGGGGGGGGGGCAGGGGGCGAACTTCCTCCCACCCCTGACGGTTTTTACCGGCTGAACTAGCCGTCGTATTGGGCTGGGTAATAAGAGAAAAGAAAGAGGGGAGAGGGAGGGAAAGAGAAAGAAGAGAAAGAGAAAAGGAAAGGAAAAGAAAAAGAAAAAGAGGAGAGAAAAATAAAGACAAGAATAAAAAGGAAGATATCATAATGACCAGACTAGACTCACAACACGCTGCAACCTCTTCTCCACTTAACTCTTTTGATCTAAGCTGCAGATGGCGTAGGCTAACCACCGGGGAACAAGGGGAAAATATATATCTTTGGAAAATCTTTCCCACCCCCTTATAAATGCCTTTTTCATCTCCTGAAAGTGCCAAAAAATCTCAAATTTCTTGTCAGAGTAGGCCAATTTCCTCTAAACATTTTAGGGATTTTGGATCAATTCCGACGAAATTAGAATTAAAAACACCTGGGGACAAAGGGAAAATATCCATCTTTGGAAAATCTTTTCCCACCCCTTGATAAATGCCCTTTTCATCCTCTGAAAGTGCCTAAAATCCTCAAATTTCGCATTTCTTGTCACAGTAGGCCAATTTCCTCTAAAAATTGCACATTTTAGGGATTTGGGATCAATTCCGTCGAAAATAGAATTAAAAACACAGAAACTTTTTGCGCGCTTCGCGCGCATTTACTAGGGTTTTTTAGGGTTATCCTTTTAAGTTATTTAAACACATAATAGTCCCAAACTCAAGAAAGAAAAATTTAAGATAGATCGTTTTAACCTAAAAGAAGGGCCTCAATGTGTATAGATACCGGGGAACAAGGGGAAAATATATATCTTTGGAAAATCTTTCCCACCCCCTTATAAATGCCTTTTTCATCTCCTGAAAGTGCCAAAAAATCTCAAATTTCTTGTCAGAGTAGGCCAATTTCCTCTAAAACCTTGGGTATGATAAATTACTAACCGGGAAAATTATTACCTTTGCCTCCCCCCCTCCCGACCCAAAACCCCTGTTACGCGCCTGACATGAAACAAATTAGGCCTACCTAAACCTAGGGCCTAGGCCTATTTCCAGTGGCGGATTTGGGCGGGGGTGGGGAGGTGGCGCACTCGCCCCCCCCCCCTCTATTTTTTCGCAAAGAAAAAATTACACCCACAGTGTTTAAATCTTCTTTTCCTACCAAAAACACCCTAGAAGAATGCTATTCATAAATCCACTTGGTGAGAAATAGAACACTTATAGTTTACTCAGTGTTAATATACAGTAGCGGATTTTGTTGTTTTGTTGATTTTTATGTTCAATGTTGCTGAGAAACTTCATCATGTTTTCTAGAAGTGAAATTTCTCTTTTGAAATGGTGTACATTTATGAGCCTTTGTATGTTGTCAAAGATTTGTGAGTAGATGAATTATTACTAATTTAATGACACATGTCATAGTTGCATTTTGCAGGTACCTTGTATATTAAAATTTCTTTTAAAAGACATACACCAATTTTTTTTTTTATTTATTTGTTACTGAAAACTACCATGCTAGATAGTCAAAATCGACTCAATACAACCTCATATTCCTCAAATGTGCTGGGCTTCAAGGGGGCTTCGCCCCCTTGGACCTCCACCACGGCCTCTGCCCATTGACCCCGCCGGGGCCCTCGGCGGCCCCCCGGTTCCCAGCCTAAGGCTGCTCGCTTCGCTCGCAGATTACCCCACCCCTTTTTTCTGGCAGGCTGCATCCGCCCATGCCCTCGGTGCTTGGCTGGTCGTCCATCTTTACTTTGGCGCCCCCCCCCCCCTCTTATGCTAAATCCTGTATCCGCCCCTGTATTGTGTAGGTTGGTTTTTGTTTCCACTTAAGCATTAAAGTAATGTATTACCTGAATAGCTATCTGTTTCAGATCAAAGTATTTATACTATATTCAATTAATTCATTCTTCAAATACACACTGTACATAATGAAAAGTAGTACGTGTTTTTAGTATAATAATTTTATTATATCATATTGCAATTCTATTTAATCTAAATCATATTATCTAAGTATAAATTCGTCACTATAGTAGACATAAAATTGTACTGCAATAGAAAATAATATTGTTTAATATATAAACTATGGCGTCTGTGATCAAATCTGGAAAACGTCTCAAAATGCTTCAATCATCAATGCGTTTTCAGCATCCAATGACACACAGATCAATTCAAGTTTATTGATTTGAATTTTAGTAGAAATTTTACTTGCTGACTCTCAGCTAATAAACCAACTCGTCGTTTGAAATGCGCATGCCCGTATCAAGGTCAATCGACATAAACATACACACAACATGGTTAACATTTAACCCTTGAGCTTGGATACGAAAATGTGCAGTTAAACTAAGGATTGGCTTATTTAAGTGTCTATAAAAAATATATATACTGTATTTATTGTCTCTTATACACATCT